CGTTTTTGCTACACTACAGCGGTGTAGTGTAAGCAGCAGTAAGCGTGAGTCATTGACAGCTCATCATCATTCGTTTGTAAACAAAGGTGCAACCGATAGCTACACTCTTTCGGAGTTCAGCGGTGTAGCACCGGTGTAGCTACACCGCAAAAATCAAAACGACATTAGTTAGTTTGTGTGGGTGTGTTGTCATTCGTAAGAACCCAACGATCCAAGTAATTGTTTACGTTTCGAGTTAGATCCTTTTGACATGGTTCCCCTGAATTATTGTGTTAGGTAATTTTAACGTTTGTTGCCAAACATATTTTGCTTTATGCATTGTAACAACATAAAAACAAATTCTTGTTTTTTTTTTATTTGACGGCACCTCTCTATATAGATTAGTGACGTTTAACGCCCGCATACTAGCGCGTAGATTGCTGTGTAAAGTTGTTCATAATTTTCCTCTGGCTAACTTAAAAAATGTATGAAATTAGATCTGTCAAAATGGATTGACAGCGATTTGTTGTGTATTTCCCTCGGATATTCACTAACACGCTCTCATATATCGTACGAGGGGCTGTCAACTTGAGTATTTTCAATTCATCTAGCCGACTTGAAAAGGTGTGTTTTGTATTTTTTCGTACGAGGGGGAAGTGGTTGAGTTTCTATCAAACTGCCGATTCACACACTCTTTTAGAGTTTTTCAACACTGCTATGACAAATCTGTACGATGATTTCGTTCCTACTCGTGTTCTCAATTCAGATAAAAAAGAAAACTCCTGGTTTAACAGTTCAATAAGTAAAGCTATGGTTGATCGTGACTTGGCGTACAAAGCGTGGAAAAATTCAAAGTTCATTGATGATCACAATTTATTCAAACGACTACGCAATAAAGTCAACCAGCTCATTCATAATGCGAAAAAAAAACTATTTTACAGTGCATCTAGATCCCAAATTACCCGCCCAAGAATTATGGAAAAGATTAAAATCAATGAGTGTTGGTAAAACCAACTCTTGTCCGATCAACTGATTAAATTCCGATGAAATTAATGTAAGTTTCGCCAAGAACTTTAGCTGTTCTAGTAATTCGAATGAATATAATTTCCAAAGTCAAAATGAAGAACACATTCCTGAGAATGAATTCTACTTTGATATCGTCAGTGAGGTCGATGTAATTAATGCAATGTATCATGTAAAATCAAACGCAGTTGGACTAGATTTGCTTCCATTGAAATTTTTGAAAACTATTTGCCCTTTAGTTATAAAACCAATTACTCACATATTTAATTCCATCATCTTATCCAGCCGATTTCCCGATGGATGGAAAAAGTCAAAAATTATTCCCATAAAAAAGAAATCTTCCTGTGATGCCATAGACAACCTACGTCCGATTAGTATTCTAAGCGCTTTATCCAAAGTTTTTGAACGTTTGTTGAAGCTGCAAATTTGTCAATACGTCGATCACAATAATCTTCTCAATACCCATCAATCAGGATATCGTCCAAAACACAATGCGAAAACTGCGATGTTAAAAGTTTTTGACGATATTGGTATTGTCTTGGATAATAACAAGCCGGTAGTTTTGATACTCCTGGATTATTCAAAAGCATTTGATACTATTTCCCATAAAATAATGTGCAGAAAACTTCGTCAAAATTTCAATTTCTCTAATCATGCGACAACTTTAATTCAGTCTTATTTGAAGGGTCGAATGCAAGCCGTTTGCAATAATGGAATACTTTCAGCCTTCATTCCTATTTCTTCGGGAGTACCTCAGGGTTCTATTCTTGGCCCAATTTTGTTTTCCTTATACATAAATGACTTGCCCGATGTACTAAAGTATTGCAAAATTCATCTTTTTGCCGATGATGTCCAATTGTACTTTGATTGTTCAGGAACCTCTGCTTCTGATATCTCGGAAAAAATCAATGCAGATCTAGCCAGAGTTCACGAATGGTCTTCTAACAACATGTTGTCTATTAATATTAAGAAAACACATGCTATTTTTATCAGTAACAGTAGAGGAAATTATGTTTTGAAACCCACTTTGGTATTTAACAACCAAAATATTGAATTTAAAGAGCATGCTACTAGCCTTGGACTGACAATTCAAGAAAATTTCTCACTTGACAAATTTATCTTAAAACAGTGTGGCAAAATATTTGCTGGTTTGAAAACACTAAACCTAGCCTGCTCATTCCTTAGTGTGGACACCAAGATTAAATTGTTTAAAAGCTTGCTTTTTCCTCACTTCATTGCATGCGATTTTCTTTTGTTCGAAGTTTCGTCTTTCGCTCTGTCTAGACTACGAGTTGCACTTAATTCTTGCGTACGCTATGTTTTTAACTTAAATAGATTCTCAAGTGTTTCACACCTACAACATCAACTCATTGGTTGTCCCTTTGATAAATTCGGTCACATGAGAAGCTGCTTGTTTCTGTTCAGTCTTGCTGCCACAAAACAACCCGGCTATTTGTTCAATAAATTGGAGTCTTTCAGAAGCAATCGTTCGAGGAAGTACAAACGGCCGCGCTTCAACACATCAAGGTATGGAAAATCCTTTTTCGTTAGAGGCGTGATTCAATGGAATTTACTTCCCAACGATTTAACATTAGAAAAATCATTCTTAGCATTTAGGAGGAGATGTATTGAGTACTTTAACTAAACAAAAATGTTTGGTCAATTAATGAATGAGTCAATAATTTAACAAAATCAGTATGGATTAATATTAATTTGAATTAGTAATCGTGACGCCAATTCTACGTGGAAAAACATATGTAACAATTATAAAAAGACGAATGTCTTATGTTACAGATTAGTATTGAATAAATAATAATAATAATAATAATAATAATAATAAGTCAGCTTTCATTTGAGTGCCTCTTTTACACAGAGTTTTTCAGAGTTACTCTGATTTGCTTCCATTTGCTCTGATTTTCATCTGAATGAGAATCAGTATTGGCGTTGACAGCACCGTCGAAAAAATTGCTCTTTCAGCACATATAGACAGTTTCTTATGGGAATTTTCAGTGGAGTGAAATGATAGTACAAAGTCCGCCATGTTTCACGCACAGTCTGACGTTTGCTTATGAATTTTCTCATAGGAGTAAAGAGCTACGGAGTCGCCGTCAACGCCAATCGGGCATATAGTCTTGGTACACTAAAAAAAATCACATATTTTTATTGATGAATTTCCATGTGCAATTGCACATGATTTTCATGTGCCCTCACATAAACATAATCCCGAGCATAATCCACCCAGAAGTACACATGAAATTTTTGTGTCAAATGAATAGTATGTGTAATCACACATGGATTTAATGTGTACACATATTAATAGCGAATTTGTTTATTATCCAGTTCCAACCTGAATCAAGATAGGGTCTGCTTGTTTTCTGACAAACGCCAGTTTGATCGTTTGTTTTTATAACCTGGCACGGGTCGAGGTTTGCACTGACAAAAAGTTCGGGTTAGAACTGGTTCCAATCTGGGTATAAACAAATTCGCTATATTCAACCTGTCAATTTCGCTACCAGAGTGTTACAATAAGCGATTTTATGATTCGTGAGCGTTCACTCAGAGTGAGCGCTCGCGAGTCGTAAAATCGCTAATTGTGACTATATGAAAGCGAATTTGACAGCTTTCATGTGTCAAACACTTGCCTTTCAACCTCTTCTTGTATCTAACAAGTACAAAATATGATTATAACATCTAATGATTTCAAAGTTCAGAAAATCATGTTTTTATAGCAAGTGAGTGGAAGCAAGCCTGGTGGTTAATTCAGCTGATTTATGAATCGATATCGATATCGTACCAATAGAACTGGTCGTGAAAATCTCTTTATTGCCAAATCAAAGTTGGCACTCATGGAGAATAGAAGAACTATGAGAGTGATGATGGTTTCAAAATTTTCCACGGGGAGGTATATGAGTGCAATCTTAAAATGCATTAACCAGATTTAAATAAAATTCTCCATTTTCAAAATAAAAGCATTTTAAGATTGCACTCGTATACCTCACCGTGTAAAATTTTGAAACCATCATCACTCTCATAGTTCTTCTATTTTCCACGACGAAGAGAATCGATCATCACGTATAGGCCCTTATGCATGCTCACTGTCGAATTTCAAGATTAATTTAATAATGTGTTGTATTATTTATGAGTGGAAGAAGTTCCCATAATCTATAATCTCTTTTGCCATAATAAGCGAAAAATACTATGGCCGCACACCTCTTGTCAAACGAAACGTAACAAGATCGGCTTGTTTTCATTCTTCGCGTCTTTCGTTCGGGGAACGTTTGCTGTAAAAGATTTACTTTGCGAAAGGTGTTAAAAATCTGACTCGAAAATGTCGTTCAAAGGCTCGAAAGTGCAAAAGGTGATGGTTCAACCCATCAACCTTATTTTCCGCTACCTCCAGAATCGATCCCGCGTTCAGGTGTGGCTCTACGAGAACACTCATCTCCGGATAGAAGGTCACATCGGTAAGTAGCTGGCTGTTTGCGGCATTTGGCGCATAACCTCAATAGTTGAGTTTATGCTGCTGGAGTAAATAATATTATTGGGTAAAGAAATGATTATCGATGGATTTCCTGCCATTCCAGTCGGATTCGACGAGTACATGAACCTGGTGCTGGACGAGGCTGAAGAGTACAACATCAAGAAGCAGAACCGGCGCCAGCTGGGCCGAATCATGCTGAAGGGGGACAACATCACACTGATCCAGAATGTGCAGACGAACTGAGAGGAGGCGAGATGCGCGAAAACTCCCAACACTTGATTCTTAAGATTAATTTAATTTCATATTTCAATCAACATTAATTGGATTTTTTTCTTTGGAAAAGTCCATTTTTCAGAGTACGATAAATGATGAACTCTTAGTGTAAGCTGTGAGCCACTGCTGTAAAATATGAATAAAAGAGAACTAAACGGATGTTGACCAAGTGTTTCAGTGCTATTTTTAAGCGGAAACCGACAAATATTTTAAGCAGTGGCTCATCTAACTGTCGTTCTTACAGGTGCGAAATTTGCGGCTTCATTTTTGGAGAAATGCATCACCTACATTGCCGAGAATGCGTCGGAATGTGTCAAGACAAACGCATTCCTGAATCTAACGAAGGAGGGTCTCATCCAGGTCATATCCTACGATAATGTTAGTATTTTTTTGAATGAATTTGTTACCAAACCTTCCTTATCTTCAAATTTTAACATTTTAGCTCGGCCTGGAAGAAGAGGACGTCTGGCGGTGTGTGCTATCGTGGGCCAAAAATCAAGCCGGAGTGACACAGCCAACCGCGCACTGGACGGAGGAGGAACGCCAACGTGTATGTCAACAGCTAGCTCCGGTCATTTCGCACGTTCGTTTGTTCCTCATCGACAGTCAGGTGTTTGCCGAGGAAGTTGAACCCACTGGAGCCGTTCCGATAGAACTTTCCCTGGAACGCTACCGGCGTGCTGCATTGCATTCCAACAAACTACCCGCGTCAGCGGTGCCAGTTCCGGCTGGACCACTATCGGAAAACGACAAGCGTCTACAACCTCGTTTGATGCTCAACCTGTACCATGGATCGACGATTCTGAAGAATGACAAAATTCACATGCAAGGAACGCTGAACGGCTTCTACGGAGTGCCGAAGCAAACGTGGCGCATGGTCTATCGTGCCTCAACGAACGGTTTCTCAGCTGCAGCGTTCCACCGACATTGCGATGGAATTGCACCGTTGTTCATAATCGCGTTGGTGGGTTTTGAATCTTGATATTGAACAAAGCTAAGATTCTAACGATTTGAATTTGGTGTTTTGTAGGGAACTCAAGGTGCCATCAGTGGAGGCTTCACAGACGTTGCATTCGCTAAAACCAACCGCAAAGGCGGCTACATCCACTCGGAGAAGGCATTCCTGTTTGCCTTGAACTACAGCAACGAGCCACCAATGAAGTTCGACATCATCAAGAAACCGTACGCGATATGCTACCATCCAGAGTAAGTTCATTTGGAGACTTTTACTTCTATTAGGTATATCAAATTCACCGCTAATTTTTTATTGCAGCTGTGGTCCCATTTTCGGAGCGGGAGCCGATTTGCTCATTTCGAACAATTGCAACGTGAACCTGGAATCGTATTCGAACTTTCCCCACTCATACGACGGCCCGAATGCCGTGGTTGGAAATCTGTTCGGGGAATATAATTTCTCGATTGCGGACTACGAGGTGTTCACTCTTGCTCCATCGACTGGGCCTTCCGGGATCAAGATGAAGCATGATCGGTATCCTTGAATAAGTAGGAACATCGAATAATTACGTATCCAGTTTTTGGGATTTTCAACACCTCTCTCCCATTGCAAGGCGAAGTAATATAATACGAAATACCCCTCCTCCGCTTGATATGATCTTATTTCGATATTTATATGTTCTACATTTTTGAGTTGTCCATACAGGTAGTAAATTTCTAGCACTCCCCCTCCCTCCCTAAATGCTGACGTAATTATTGAATGTCCCCTTGAGTGTTGCCGTTCAGTTTTCAGTTGGAGTACGATTAGCATCAATAGATAGATGATAAGACTGGTGGATACCGAGAATAGCGATTCTATAGCTTAAGTTTTATGCGAATACTGCAATAAACCATTTAATGAACTTTTATATATTCATCATATTTTGTGTTCTCCCTGTCGGGGCTCAGGTCGCAGCAATTCTGTATATAAATGGCAAAGTGTTTTACGAACCCCTCCGAGGAATTTATAGGCACAATTGATTATTAGAAACTTTAGTGGAACAACACCCACCATTTATTCTCTTTTTGTCTCCTCTCGTACACGATCGTCACAACTGCTCCAGTAATGAGTAAACATCCTCATCAGGATGTCACAGTCCCCTCTTATCTTCCCCAGATGATAAAAGATATGAACCAGAAGCTCAAGGAGTTAACTTTTTCTTTTCTGTTACATTACATCTTCCATTCGAATTTGAGCAGACCAGTAAGGGGTCTTCTCCAAGAGTCTTGATGAAACCAGTCACATATTGTAACGACGTGAAGGCTTACATGGGCCTGTCCCAAGGCTCATGCCTCAGCCCTCTTCTTTATAACTTTTATGTCAAATATATATCGACAACTGTTTGGCAGAACAATGCACGCTAAGACAACTTACAGATGACGGTGTAGTTTCCGTAAGAGGTCCACATGCCGTAGACTTGTAAGGACCATTGCATAGTTCCTTAGATAACTTTGTCGTTTTGGGCTAGAAACCTAGGGATCGAATTCTCGCCGCAGAAAACTGAACTGCTAGTGTTAAACTTTAAATGATCTTTATTTCTTGTATTTGTATGGTTTACATGTATTACATATCAAGTGACAGATGCGTCTTTTCAACTTTAGTTCTTCTGATATTTCAATTATAATTAATTACAGTTCCTAGTCCTATCAGGCCTGTTTTAAGAATGACCACCTTGGTGGGATTGGTTTGCTTTAAATTTGAAAAAGGAGACTACTTATAACTACTATTTACAACTACAACTACTATATACACCTAATCTACTATATACAAATTGCTTATCAAAGCATGTTCTGATAAAATACATTTTTGTGTAAATTTAGTGCTAATTTCGTTAATTTTGGAATCTATTTTGGCAATGCCTGCCTCTTCGTGTAAATTTGTTATTCTAGTGTCGAAAGGGCGATCAAGAACCATCCTCAGCACTCTATTCTGAGCGACCTGGATTTTGTTCCTGTGAGTCTGTGCACATGATTCCCACACCGGAGCTGCGTAGAGGATCGCAGGTGCTATGATTTGATTGTAGACGGCCAGTTTGTTCCCCTTTGAGAGGCGGGATCTGCGGCAAATCAGCGGATACAGACACCTAACCAAGGCAGAACACTTGACTACAGTTTTCTCTACATGCGAACGGAAGAGGAGCTTTTCATCGAACAACATCCCGAGATAGGTTACTTCGGCGGACCACTCAACCCTTGTGCCATCCATGATTACAGTACAAGATGGAGCCGGTTTCATTTTGGGCGATTGCCGATGGAGGAACATGATCGCTTGTGTTTTGGAGGCATTGATTTTGATTTTCCACGTGGTGGTATAATCAGCAAAGGCGTTAAGGCATCGTTGAAGTTTGTTCGTTATTTCGCGAGGCATCCTTCCTTTGACGGCTATTGCGGTATCATCTGCGAACAGGAAAAACACGCAACCGTCTCCAAGGGGAGGAATGTCGGAAGTGTACATGCTGTAAAGCAAGGGGCCCAGCAGACTGCCTTGCGGGACTCCTGCTGTTATGGAAAACGTGTCGGAAAGACAACCATTCAACGATACCTTAAACGACCTTTGCTGGAGGTAGTTACGGGTGATTTTAACCAGATGTAATGGAAAGTTGAAGTTACAAAGCTTGAATACAAGCCCATTGTGCCAGACATTGTCAAACGCCTTTTCAACGTCTAACAAGGCCATGGCTGTGGACTTGGATACAGGTTTGTTACTTCGGATGTTATTCATCACCCGTACTAACTGGTGATTGGTGGAATGCCCCTTTCTGAATCCAAATTGTTCCGGAAGGAAAATGTTATTTTCGTCGACAAACTTGAGCAAACGATTGAGAATGAGTTTCTCGAAGAATTTGCTCAGCGCTGAAAGGAGACTGATTGGTCTGTGGCTTGAAGACAATGTTGGATCCTTACCGGGTTTACGGATTGGTATGATTTTTGCTACTTTCCAGATGCTTGGAAAGTAGTGCAGTTCCAAACATCTGTTGAAGATAGAGGTTAGGAGAGACTCCCTCTTCATGCTGAGTCTCTTCAAGATCAAGTTGAATATACCGTCAAACCCGGGGGTCTTCATGTTCTTGGTGCATTTCAGCGCTGAGCAAATCTGTTGTACTGTAATCATATCCGCCGGAGGCACGACACAAGGGGAGGCATCTAGGTTTTGAACGCATTGCGCAACCTGATCTTCGAGCGGACTTTGGATATTCGAGCCAAGCAAATGCGATGAAGCGACATGCTTGCCGATCGCATTTGCTTTCTCCTGTGGGGTAATTAAAAGCCGATCGTCATCATTTTCGACTCTGAGAGGTGGAACGGGTTTGGGATGAGTTTTCAGGACCTTGGCTACCTTCCAGAATGGTCTGGAGCGGTCGTCCAGATTTTGGACAACACGCCCGAAACTTTCATTTCGGAGTGAGTCCATTCTGGAAGCAATCTGCCTATTCAGATCGGCCAATTTCACGTTTTTTGCCCAGATCTCCAGTCCTCTGAAACTGGCGTCTACGAACATTTCTTAACCGAATCAGTAATTGGGTGTGGGAATCAATAGCAACAAACTTACCCCTCACAGGAACTTGTCGAACGTATGCCTCGTCAGCCATGGATATGGCCTGTTGGAGTCCTTCCAACGTCCGGTCGATGTCATCTACGGTGTTGAGCAGTGGATTTTCATTGATGTTGCTGTCCACCATTCGTCCGTACTGCACCCAGTTGACATGGTGGTAGTCTTTACGCAGGCAGCTTCTAGCAGGAACCGGTCGGAGCTGAGATCGTTGTGCGCCTCCGGCTTGGATAGTCCGATGTTTGACAGGAAAAAGTCCAGCGTGGAGGGATTTCCCGCCGGAGAGATGAAAGTTGGTTCGTCCGGAATTTGCACAGTGTACAGACCATGTTATGCGTGGTCGAACAATAGACATCCGTTCCGGTTCCTCTGGTAGTTCCTCCAAGCTTCATGGCGGGCGTTCAGGTCGCCCCCAACGATGAATCGGGAGTTAGTACGGGTGATGGCGGTCAGGTCCTTTTTGAATTGGATTCCTAATCCGTTGCTTGCGGTACACTGGCGTGGGCAGTAAACAGCGATGAACCGGACGTTTCCAGTTGGTGATTCCACCTCCACACTAATGGCCTCAATGATAGAAGTGCGGATGTGGGGCATAGTGCAAAACTTGATTCCCTTTCTGACGATGACCGCTACACCACCCCCCCCCTGGAGGTGGTGCGATCAAGCCGGATAATGTTGTGGTCAGGCAACCAGAAGCTGTCACCGGACTTTAGGTGGTGTCGTGACCTGACCGAGGTTTCCAGCCTCGGCCACGGCTACACGAATTAGCGATGCAGCTCCCACGGGTGCGACTGCTTCTATTGCTGCTGCTGCTGCTGTTTCTGCTGCTGTTTCTGCTGCTGCTGTTTCTGCTGCTGCTGTTTCTGCTGCTGAGGTTTCTGTTGCTGCTGTTTCTGCTGCTGCTGGTGGTCCGTCACCTCCAAAATTCGTTACAAGAATGACTTTAACGAGTTTAGTTTAAATGATCTTTATTTTAGTTTAACTTGGACGATTACCATATAAATTTTTACTAAGTGATTTAATTGCTTTCTTCATCTTTAGGTATGGGCAAAATTCAAAATTTGTTTTACAGAATTAGTCCTAGACTTAGTACACGGTCGACCACCTTGGTGGGATTGGTTTGTTTTGTTTTTAGAATTTGAAGAGAAACTACTTAATACTACTATTTACAGCTTAAAACTAACCTACTCTACTATATACACTTAACCTACTATGTACAAATTGCTTATTAAAGCATGTTCAGAAAGATTGCATTTTTGAATAAATTTAGTTGTCATATCATCAATTTTGGAATCTACTTTGGGAATTTCTGCCTCTTGATGGAGGTCTGCTATTCTTGTGTCGAATGGACGATCTAGGATCATCCTCAACACTCTATTCTGTGCAGCCTGGATTTTGTTCCTGTGGGTCTGAGCGCACAATTCCCACACCGGGGCGGCATAGAAGATCGCGGGGGCTATGATCTGTTTGTAAACAGCCAGTTTGTTTTGCCTTGAGAGGCGGGATCTGCGGCAAATGAGCGGATACAAACACCTAACCAAGGCGGAGCACTTAACTAGGGTTTTCTCTATGTGCGAGCGGAACAGGAGCTTCTCATCGAACAACATCCCGAGATAAGTAACATCAGTGGACCACTCGACCCTTGTACCATCCATTATTACGGTACAGGAGGGAGACGGTTTAAGTTTTAATGATTGTCTGTGAAGGAACATGATCGCTTGGGTTTTCGAGGCGTTGATTTTGATTTTCCACGTGGTGGCATAATCAGTAAAGGTGTCAAGGCATCGTTGGAGCTTGTTCGTAATTTCACGAGGCATCCTACCCTTGACGGCTATCGCGGTGTCATCTGCAAACAGAAAGAACACGCAACCGTCTCCTAGGGGAGGGATGTCCGACGTGTAGATGCTGTAAAGCAGTGGTCCCAGCAGACTCCCTTGCGGAACACCTGCTGGGATCGGAAATTGTCCCGAAAGGGAACT